CCCGCCCGAGCGCCGCTGCCGCAACGGGCGCGGGCTGAGGTGGTTATTCATATTCACGGGTAAATCCTGTTAGTCGTTTAATTGTATCTTATYAGAGAGTGTTTTGTAGGAAGAGCTACGCCTTTGTGGGTGTATATTTGTGTGAAAGAATCATCACAAAATCCCAGAATTGTTTGGATTGGGAAGGACCTTAGAGATCATCTCGTTCTACCCCACACCTTCCACTGTCCCAGGCTGCTCCCAGCCCCAATGTCCAACCTGGCCTTGGACTCTGCCAGGGATCCAGGGGCAGCCACAGCTTCTCTGGGCACTCTGTGCCAGGGCTTCACCATCCTCACAGGGAAGGGTTTTTTTTCCTAATATCTAATCTAAACCTACTCTTTGAATTTGAACCAATTCCCCCTTGGAATAACATCTARTGACAGTGTAATTTTATATCTGACTCTACACATACACCCTTGTATCTACATATGTATGAAGTGTGCATAAATAAAACATATCTACATTTTCTATAATAAGCACATCATTTATGCACTCTCACCCATCCCTGCCTGCTCCCCATCCACATTCCTGTCCCCTCTCTCCTCAGCCAGCGCCTAAACATTCCAACAGATCATAGTGCAGATTTGAAAAGTATGTTTGATACAAATAAGAGTTAATTACTCTCTCAGGATTGACTAATACAGCACAACAGTTTCATATCCCACAGGGCAATAAGAAAATAACACTCACCTTTGAACCAACCTTGGGACTCGGGTCAGGACTCGTTTTTACAGAGCCAAAGTCCTTCAGGAATCCTCTCCTGGGCTGCTGGGTTTCTCCGCCACCTTATGATGTGGTGTAGGAAAACCTCCAGTTTGTATCTTCAGGGGTTTAACAGCAGCAGGTGGTTGAATGGGGGAGCTGAATAAAAAGGTCTGGAGAAGTGGTGTGGTTAGTCCAAAAAAAAAAGGATTACTGCAGCGTTTCCCAGTTTTTCCTGTGTGTTTCCACCTTATTCAGCAACAGAAACAACTGCAGGRTTGGGGCTGGGTATTCTGGGTGTGGGTGTTTGGGTGCTGCTGCAAAAAAAGAAGGGTTCAGATGTGTGGATGGGACACATAAGGACATAGTTTACAAAATCCCAAAATCACTCGGGTTGGAAAACACTCCAAGATGGAGTCCAGCCTGTGACCAATCCCCACCAGAGCACTGAGTGCCACATCCAGGCATTCCTTGGTCACCTCCAGGGAAGGGGACTCCATCACCTCCTTGGGCAGCCCCTTCCAATGCCTGACCACCCTGTCTGTGAGGAAATTCTTCCTTGATGTCCAACCTGACCCTCCCCCGACACAGCTTGTGGCATTTCATTTCCTTTCCTCCTGTCCCTGTTCCCTGGGAGCAGAGCCTGACTCCCCGGCTGTCCCCTCCTGTCAGGGAGTTGTGCAGAGCCAMAAGGTCCCCCTGATCCCCCTTTTCTCCAGGCTGAGCCCCTTTCCCAACTCCCCCAGCCTCTTCTGGTGCTCCAGACCCATTCTCAGCTCCACTCCCTTCTCTGGACTCACTCCAGCCCCTCCATGTCATTCCTGAACTGGACACAGCACTGGAGGAGCCTCAGCAGTGCCCAGCACAGGGGATGGTCACTGCCCTGGGCATGCTGGCCATGCTGATCCTGATGTGAGCCAGTGGTGAACACAGTGGTGCCAGGTTAATGGYTGCATTCGATGTTAGAGGGCTTTTCCAGCCTTAATGATTCCATGATTCTGTGGAACACATGGAAGTGAACCCTTGTTTGCGGTATTGGTGATGGCCTGGTGTGGGGAGAGGAGATGGGTGGCACTGAGCTCCCTCCCCTCTCGATTGCCACGCTTCTGGATAAGGGAAGGGCCGAGGGAAGCGTTTATTGGGATCAGTGGGCATGCACTTTTCAGGAAAGATGTGGGGTAAGTGGGCYAGGCAAATCATCCCACTGCATTTCCCTCTTTTTGCCTCAGCACTTCCCTGCTGTCACCCCCCCAKACAGGCAGGACACAGGTGGTGCAAGAGGATTTTAGAGCTGGATTCACAAGCACTTGGAGAAATTCCTGGAATTCCTGGGRTTTCTGTGTGCAGTTGTGAGGAAAYYCAGGATCTGGGCACTTGGGCTGTGTTGGTGAGGGCAGCAGCAGGACCTGAGGAACAGCAATGGCCATGACTTTGTGGTACTTTTGTTCACCAAATCGCCATCTGCTTTCACTTCCACTGGGACACAGAAACACCCAAGCACCCGGCTCTGCAATCCCAGCCCCAGCCCTGCATTGCTGCACTGTCAGCAGCCAAGCCTGTCCTCGAGACAGGTTAAGGAGATTAAGAAATCTTCTCTAGATGCCAYAGAGAGATTTTTGTGCTCATCCCACTGGAAAAAGCCCAGGTCAGTCAATTTTACCGAGCACTGTCTGCTCTGACACCTCTCCTGAGACTGAATCAGACACAAACATCTATTTCATTCAGGTTAATTAAATAAAATCTATTTTAGTCCCTGGTTTAATTCTGCAGCTAGGAGCAAAAATCATCACAGGCAAACCTCTGCCCCAGTCTTTTAAAAAGAGAGCAGTTAAATAATGCATTTAGGCTTGTGGAGAGAAAAACAGGAGAACCCCTGAGGCCTGGGACCACGTGGCCTCTCTCCAGGCTGCACAGGATCACCTACAATCCATGGCACGTCCACATCCTGCTCACAGCCCTGCAGTGTCACTAACAGATCTTTCAGTGTTCCAGAGCAGGGGTTGGATCTCTCCACAGCCCTGATGAGCCCTCCTCATCCCCTAATTCCTGGTCACTTTTTGAGTCTGTGGGAGCCACAGAGCAAAAAGATTTGTATCCTTGAAATGCCTTCAGTCAGKTCTGCACAATGCAGCAGCCTCATGTTTCCTTCTCAGCTCCGTATCAATGTTTTATAAATTGAGCCTATTATTACCTGTTTAATTGCTCWGGGGAGGGCCCAGGAAAGCCATTTCTTTCACATAATACTTGTGAGGATTTTCCCCCCTCATTTCCAACCAGGACATATGCTGTGATTCCCTCATGCAGGGTCTCACAGCTCACTCATGATTCCCACCGCAGACTCAGAAAGGAAGAGTTGGAACCCCCCAAATGTCCTGGCTGCAGAACAGAACCACCTGGATGTGGTGTGGGATTGCTGCTGGAGTGTGAGTCACACGCAGGGAATTTGAAGGAGCTGRGAGCTGACAGTGATAATAGTGATGATGACGAGCCTTTGCTGCAAGTAGCAGCCACACCTCCACACAGCTCTCCAGGCTTGTCACTGTCACTGACGGGTGTCTGTTCTCCCAGGTATCACAGAATTACAGAATCACAGAATTTCCCAAGCTGGAAGGAACCCACAAGGATCACTGAGTCCAATTCCTGGCACAGGACATCCCAGCATTCCCACCCTGTGCATCCCTGGGCGCGGTGTCCAAATGCTTCTGGAACTCTGGCAGCCTTGGGGCTGTGCCCATTCCCTGGGAGCCTGGGCAGTGCCTGACCACCCTATGGGGAAAGAATCTTTTCCTAATATCCAACCTAAATCTCCAACACAGCTTTCTGACATTCCTTCAGGTCCTGAATAAAATGTTTTTGTCTTCCATTGGCCACATCATTCACTTTGTGGAGACAGCAGTGCCCGTAGGKACACCTTCTCTCGAGTCCTGGCAGCTGGGAGGGCAACCAGAGCCACCTCTCCTGGTGCAACCCGGCTCTGCTGACAGCAGGTTTACGTGTTCCAGAAGCTGATCCCTATCAAGMACCATCCTGGTTAGGAAAAGCTGGCATAGATGCACAGAATAAGCACAAAGTAAGTGGAGCAATGTGGCTTTGGGAGAGACAGAGAGTTTTATCTTCCCAGTATCCCAGAGAGGTGGTCAGCCCTCCTGGAGAYGGGCTCTGCTCCCTGCCCTTTTCTTTTCCTCAGAAAAGCCCCACACATTTGAGAATGTCTCATCTCTGAGCAACCAATTGACCCCGTAACCGCTGCAKTGTGGGGTCACAGCAAGCTTGGCCATGCTGTGGTTCTGAGGATGCTCATGGCAGCTTTCCAGAAGCTCTTCCACCCACGGGATATTCTGTGTGACCCAGCCACTGCTCTGGGTCCAGAACACCAGGTGGGATCCCTGTTTAGATGTTGGCAGGAAATGCCAGGGTTTGGGATGAGACAACAAATAATCATGTCATGGTGATGGATGGAGTCAGGCACGTCACATAGGCTCTGTCAGTTTTGAGTTTGGGAAACATCCCTTCTTAAGGCCCTCTGAAGAGCCAGCCAAGAGGAACACCTGTGTCTAGAAGACACTTCCAGAGCCAAGGAAGCAGAATAACACTCCAGGGCCAAATTAAGAGGAGCTTCTGCATAAATGTTGTGAAAAAAGCTTTGGAGAGGATTTCCAGGAAAGCTCCTGCTCTCTCTGTTGTCCCCTATGACCACATCAGCACTAGCCCTGTTTCACTGTAGAGCAGCTGGAGGGACACCACAGGCAGACCTGAAGGCACCTGGGGACACCAAACACCTCCAGTAGCCTGACCAGGACGAGGAATTTCCCAACAGATGAGATCTGTCTCACCCAACAAATATGAATTCCCAAGGCAGACAGCCACAGTAAAGGGAAATCACAGCCAATTGCACAGAGCGAGTATTCAGGAATGAGAGCATGTCCAGGGAAGGGAACAGAGCTGGAGAAGGGGCTGGAGCACCAGGAGCAGCTGAGGGAACTGGGAAAGGGGCTCAGCCTGGAGAAAAGGAGGCTCAGGGGGGACCTTGTGGCTTTGCACMACTCCCTGACAGGAGCAGGCAACCAGGTGAAGGTCAGACTGTTCCCAGGAAACAATTTGTGGACTTGGCAGTGTGAGGTTTTATGGCTGGACTTGACCTTTCCAACCTAAACGATTCTGTTCTGCTCATTTCCATCTCTCTTTCGGCAGGAAGATGAGCTGGCACTTGGGGATAAAGATTATCCCTAGCAGGATCATTTTTGTSATCCCCTTGCAGCAGAGCTGCACAGCTGCTGGGCTGGGCAGAGCTCTTCAGAGCCAGGAAG